TTCTCCTCCATGTATTTGTTTTGTATTCTTTCTCTATCTCTAAATATATTGACTTCTCCCGTGGATGTAGGCGATTTTGCCGAACCACGTTAAATATTGTGTCAGTGTGCTTGGCCTCCTATGAGCAAATAACAGTACATCACCGGTCGAAATTCCCAACAATTGGTATCAGAGCGTTCGGTTTAAAGTGGTGTTTGATTTTGCTCAAAAATGAAAGTTGTCAAAATTGTGTTTTGACCATACCACTGTGTAGAGGAGGAAGAGACGAAGCCACTGGTGAAAACCGCGTCGAAATCGGACGTCGGAAACCGTCGCACGCGCCGGGGGGTGATTGTCCACGTCATCAGCCACGTCAGCAGGTCTGCACAGTCATCAGACACGTCACCTGACACATCAGCACTCTGACCAGTCAAACTGCCACGTCAGCAGTTCTGCACAGTCATCAGACACGTCACCTGACACATCAGCACTCTGACCGGTCAAACTGCAACGTCAGATTTGGTTGACCTATATGTCCTACGTGGATGACACGTCATTACAGCCACGTCAGCTCCCTGGATTTTGATCCTGTGTGGCAGAGTCTACGTGCAACCGGTTCTGAGATTGAATCTGGGCCGTTTATCAGGCCAAAATTGTTTTGATCAAATCTTAGCCGTCTGAAGTGCGATTTGGACGATTTCAGACTTGTTTCCAGCTAATTTGATCGTTCCGGATGCAATGGTACGGTCCGATCATTGAGATTGAGATCATAAAAGGCAGTGATGAATTATTAAAGAGAGATTGCCCGATTAGGAGGTATCTGATGGTCATCATGGTGGTCGATGGAGATGAAGAAGAAGAAATCACACATGTTTGCCCAATTACATGTGGTGAACTATCATGTGAGGAATTTTAATTGCCTTGAGGGAAGGTAAAATTGGGACACTCTAAACACCCGATCATGTGGACAATTTGAGGTGGAGAGTGAAATTTGATGAAGACCAATCTTGACGAATCTAAGCACTGGTAGTCTCGCCAGATGTTGAGAAATCAGGTATAAAATAAGGATACCCCAGATCACTTGTAAAGGAAAGCCGCGACAAAGCTAGCAAATGGTTGTATATACGAAAAGACAGTACGATGGATAGATATGGCCTAAGAAGTTCTGGCTAGGAGATTGGGTTTTAAGCGGGACCATTGTGACCCCTCCAATCTTTCCTGGGAACTTGCTTAGTGCAAGGATTATCCATACGGTACTATTTTCGTATATGTGACAGTTTGTTGTGAAACTGTTGAAGACTAGCAGGATGACGGCACAAAGGAACAGTTGGGTTCCGTATGATCAAAGATCTGATGGAGTGGTGATTTCTCC